AGAAAGAGAAATTAAGGAAACAATCCCATTTACCATCACGTTGAAAAGAATAAAATACTTAGGGATAAACCTACCTAAGGAGACAAAAGACCTTTACTCCAAAAACTGTAAGATGCTGTTGAAAGAAACTGAAGATGACCCAAACAGATGGAAAGATACACTGTGTTCTTGGATTGGAAGAATCAATAGTGTTAAAAATGACTGTACTACCTAAGGCAATTTACAGATTCAGTGCAATCCCATTCACATTACCAATGACGTTTTTCACAGAACTAGAACAAAAAATTTAAAAATTTGTATGGAAACACAAAAGACCCTGAAAAGACAAAACGATCTTGAGAAAGAAGAGCAGAGCTGGAGGAATGACGCTCCCTGACTTCAGACTATACTACAAAGCTACAGTAATCAAAACAGCATGGCACGGGCACAGAAACAGACATATAGATCAATGGAACAGGACAGAAGGCGCAGAAATAAACCCCCATACTTATGGTCAATTAATCTACAACAAAGGAGCCAAGAATATACAATGAAGAAAAGACAGTCTCTTCAATAAATGGTGCTGGGAAAACTGGACAGCTACATGTAAAAGAATGAAATTAGAACATTCTTGAACACCATATACAAAAACAAACTCAAAGTGGATTAAACATATAAATGTAAGACTGGATACTATAAAACTCCTAGAGGAAAACATAGGCAGAACACTCTTTGACATAAATAACAGCAGTATTATTTTGGATCTGTCTCATAGAGTAATGGAAATAAAAACAAAAATAAACAAATGGGATCTAATTAAACTTAAAAGCTTTTGCACAACAAAGGAAATCATAAACAAAATGAAAAGACAGCCTATGGACTGGGAGGAAATATTTGTAAATGATGCTACCAACAAGGGATTAATTCCCAAAATACACAAACAACTTATACAGCTTAATATCAAAAAAACCCCAACCCAATCAAAAATCGGGCAGAAGACTAGATAGACATCTCTCCAGAGAAGACATACAGATGGCCAGCAGGCACATGAAAAGATGCTCAGTATCACTAATTATTAGAGAAACGCAGTCAAAACTAAAATGAGGTATCGCCTCACACCAGTCAGAATGGCCATCATTAAAAAGTCTATAAATAATAAATGAGGGTATGGAGAAAAAGGAACCCTCCTACACTGTTGGTGGGAATGTCAAATTGGTGCAGCTGCTATGGAGACCAGTATGGAGGTAACTTATAAAAGTAAAAATAGAGTTAACCATATGATCCTGCAATCCCACTCCTGGGCATATATCCAGAGAAAACGCTGATTCAAAAAGATACACGCGGGGCTTCCCTGGTGGCGCAGTGGTGCAGAGTATGCCTGCCAATGCAGGGGACACGGGTTCGTGCCCCGGTCCGGGAGGATCCCACACGCCGCGGAGCGGCTGGGCCTGTGAGGCATGGCCACTGAGCCTGCGTGTCCGGAGCCTGTGCTCCACAACGGGAGAGGCCACAACAGTGAGAGGCCCGCGTACCGCAAAAAAAAAAAAAAGATACATGCACCCCAATGTTCATAGCAGCACTATTTACAATAGCCAAGACATGGAGCCAACCTAAATGTCCATCAACAGATGAATGGATAAAGAAGATGTGGTGTGTGTATATGTATGTGTGTACGTATATATATATGTACACAAACACACATAATACACAATGGAATATTACTCAGCCATAAAACAGAATGAAATAATGCCATTTGCAGCAACATGGGTGGAGCTAGAGATTACCATATTAAGTGAAGTAAGTCAGACAGGAGAGACAGATAATCATATTCATATCACTTATATGTGGAAACTAAAAAATGATACAAATGAACTTATTTACAAGACAGAAATAGACTCACAGACATAGAACACAAACTTACGGTTACCAAAGGGGAGAGGGGGGTGGGGGAGAGATAAATTAGAAGTTTGGGATTAGCATATACACACTACTATATATAACATAGGTAAACAACAAGGACCTACTGTATAGCCCAGGGAACTCTACTCAGTATCTTGTAATAACCTATAAGGGAAAAGAATCTGAAGAAGAATATATATATATGTGTGTGTGTGTGTGTGTATAACTGAATCACTTGGCTTTACACTTGAAACTAATACAACATGTAAATTAACCATACTTCAATTAAAAATATTTTTTAATGTGAAAAATAAAACAAAGACGACAGAAGAAAACATGGGAGAATTTATTAAAACAATCTCAGAATGAGGCTTTTTTCCAAAATTTTTCCAAAGTTTAAGACAAGGACCTCCAATCACAAAAGACTGCCAGAGCTGACTGTCAACATGTAAAAATTCTGAAGCCAACAGGGGAAAATGGACCCAAATTCGAACAGTTTATGAAAAGAAAATACAACTGGCTTCTGAAGCACATAAACAAGCTCAGCTTCTAATAAAATATAAGAAATGCGAAACAAAAAACAAAAACAAAAACCCCCCAAACACTCAAATTTAAAAATCCTGCCAGCAGAAAACTACAGAAGCTCAAAGACTGAAGAAAAATTGGGATAAAATATTTTCAACATCTAAGACAGAGTTCCTATAAGTCAGTAAGAAGAGGTATTAAAAAAATTAAGGGTATGGAGAAATGGTTCACAAAAAAGAAAAAACAAATGTGTTTACTTCTTTGAAGAGATAAAAGCCTCATTTACAATAAAAGAAATGTAAATGAACACTCCAGTATGCCATTTCTTCCTCAATCAAATTAATAAAGATAAAAACTGACTACTCACTTGTTGGTGAAGGTGTGGGGAAATGGGCATGTTTGTGCAATTTTCATAGTAGCATAAATGGGTACCAGCCTTTATGATTTGGTAGTATCTATCAAAACATGTACAGATATCTTAACCTTGCTGGAGATGGGGGAAAAATGGGCCTCTTGAAGTGAATGCACTTAAAATTTCACGAAAAATAGACTTGATTGGGAAGTTACCTTGAGAAGTAGTAGTAATAGTTTTGAAAACAAGATTATCTTATATAAATGTAAGTTGTTATAATCGTAGATACCTACTCATTTTAGAAAAAAAGTGAACTGAGAGAGGTTCTGGTGTCATGCTTATAAGGCATGCTGTGACACCACAGTAGGGCATCTTTCACTTCATAATGGACTTTGGTGGCACTTTCGCACAGAGGATCATTTCTGTAGAAGGTAGGGCTTCATGGCTTCACTAAGGGCCCACCCTTAATCTTTTATTATTTCATCTGCTTTTATTATTTCTTTTTTGAAATGCTTATCTAGGTATCAGCCTTGATTTTCTCTTCAGTTGATAACTGGTTTAACTCTGCCTAATCTCCTAATCTCTGTTAGAGATTCTTCAGTTTCACTTCCCTTAACTTCATGAAATCTCTTATCTTGACAAGATTTACAGTTCTTCTTCATAAGTGATTTACTTTACATTGTCCTTACTTGATAAGAGACAGCCCAGAAGGAGACTCAGTCAACAGAGATAGAGCAGGGAGGAGATGGGTGGGGAGAAACAATAGTGTTCAGTGGGGAGGGACTAATTTCATAATCGGGCAGTTCATTAGTGAATATCTGAAGGGTTAATGGCTGTCTTTAGCTGCCCTATACATCCATCAATAGGGGACTTGTTCCATACATTATGGCACAGTGAAATGCTCTGCAGCTGTTAATAAAAAGGAGAAGCGCTAGATGTCTTAATATAGATCCATCTCCAGAACACACAGGCGTCTTCCCTTTGAACAGCGCACACTGGGGCCGCCGCGTGCTTACCAAGAGGGCTTGCTTACGGAAAGCTGAAAGGTTTCCTTACAGCACGATGCCTGCGGAGACAGGTCCCCGCACAGTGCACTGGCCAGGGCTCCGTTCTCTTCAGATGCCCTGGGGTTGCTTCCTGCCCAGACCATCAAGCAAGTAACTGTTGGCCACCTCCTGCCAGCTGCGGTCAAGTCAGTGTTGCCCTTGAAAATGCTCCTGGCCTTAATCAGGCTTTAATGAGCAGCCCACCTCTGCATCCTTTGATGGAAGGCTCTCTGATTAACAGCCAGCATGATACTCTTTAGCCTTGTTACAGGCCTCCCACCCCACCACCTACGTGCCTTTTTCAGGCAGCTGGGTCCTCGTGTTCACCAGGAACAGGACCCATGCCAGAAACACTAGAGCCGCCATGAGCACAGCCCCATTTAGGGAAAGCCCAGCCCAGCAGACTGAGAGCAGAGGCCACGTTCTCTCAAGGATCCTGGAAGCTAACCATGAGAAAGCAGCACTTCAGCTACAGTGCACTGAGCTGTCACCTGTTCATGTGTGTGTACACACATATCACTGCAAAATAAAAATGTCCCTGACGTGTACTGCCCTATGATGAACCAGTCTTGTCTGGGCAGCTCAGAAAGTCTGGCGTACCTATATATTAAGTCAAAGAGGCAAACTGCAGATAAATATATATGTTACCACTTGTGTAAAAAGGAGGTATATTATAGATACATGTTTGTCCCTATAACACACTCTGAAAAACTACAATAGGAAACTGTTAAAAGTGGTAACCTTTGGGGAAGGAAACTTAGGAATTCAGGGCTGGGGTGGGGACAGCCTGATTTTTCTCCATATTCCCTTTGTACACTGAATGTGTTTTACCATGTGCGTATAAAACTACTTTATTATTATTATTTTTTAAGCACAACATTTTAATAGGGAAAGAACAGTGTACGGCAGCTCATGCAGATGTTCTGCCAGGCCGTGAATGAGCAGCCCTCCGCTGCAGGGCTGGGGTGGCCCAGCGGTGTGGGCTCTGGTTCATGTCACTCCAAGGGGCGGGGGCTGCTCCGGCACAAAGAGGGTTTTGACAGGGAGAGGCAGAGCTGGAGTGAGAGCAGGCCCTGGGCGGGCTCCCAGCGAGCCCCCCGCCCCCGCCCCCCTCGATGGGAAGGGGTGCCCTCCACCCATCTGCAGATCAGCAAGGCTCTCCTAGGAAATGAAATGTTACATACGTTTTGTCATTACAGAATTTTGAGAGGAGTGATTTTTAAAGAAGTGACCCGTGTACGGCATGTTTTGACTGCTGTGTCTCACTATATCAAGTTTTTATGTAAGTTTTTTCCATTTTCAGGTAATCTCTGATTTTGATTAATGCAACAGTGACAACAGTTGATAACGTTTTTCTGTTGATTTGCCTAATGTCTGTGTTCATCTAAATAGTTTCCAATGCATCTTCACATTTTAAACTCTTTTAAACTATAACTTAGACCCCATTTCACATTCATGCTTTATATTGCCGAGACTCTGCTTTGGGGAGGAGCAAATCGTCTTCCCTTCTGAAACGGCACTGCTTGGGAACTAGTTGGGTCCCGGGTATTCTGGGGAAGTGACACAGTGTTGACCTAGGAGGGGGTCCTGATCTCTCCCCATGGGGAGAAGGAACAGAGAGGAAGTTGAGGCTGGCGACCCTCTTGGGACATGCCCACACCCACCCTCTCCAAGGGCTCTGCCCTGGACATCCACCTGGGCGTGGGGAGGCCTGGATACACCGTTGGCAGAGAAGCTGGGCGGGAAGAAGCCGGCCCAGCGCCCGCCACTGTAAGAGGAAACGAAGAGAGACAGCTCCAGTCAGCCCCAGAAGCGAGGCCTGGAAAAACTGCAGCTGGAGCTAGCACAAAGGACTTTTCAGACCCTGCAGCCAAGGTGCCCAGTGAGCTTTTTTTTTTTTTTTTTTTTAAAACAGCTATTAGGGCGACGAGCCTTTCCAAAGGCCAGCAGTTGGCGAGGGTTTCCAGGAAGCTGGTCTGGCACCAGGCTGGGATTGGAGCAACTTTAACGAGTTAACTTCAGAAGGAAGGAATCATCAGGAAAGGTTTAAGGTTCAGCAAACTTTTTGGATTATTTTGCAAAACGTTCTGGCTTTCAAATTCAAAGGCGTGTTTTGCCGTGACTGTTTTAAGCCAGAGCCTGTTTCAAAGGCAGCGCAGCCCGCACGTTTCTGATTCATTCACTCCAGGTATTTGTCTCGACTTCTCTGGACGAGCTCTGCAAGTGCCATCCAGTGCCGGGAAGTACTGGGGTCACCTTACACGTCTCATCAAACATTGCTCCACCCACGTGCCTCTCCCTCCGCCAGCCCCCATGGCCATGTGTGCACACGCGCGCGCACACACGCGCACACCTTCCCCAAGCAGGAAGCTGCTCTTTGCCAAGAGCGAATGGAATTCAGATTTCCAGAGGGTGTCCTTGGCCTCCAGCTCCACAGCCACACGCTGAAGAAAGGTCCTAGTGTGTGTGGTGGGGACTGAGAGAGAGGGGCCTCCATCTCTGCTCACGTCTATCTCGGCCCCAAGAAAAACCCACAACTGGCGGCAGGCTCCTCGGCCACACCCGGCCTCGGTCACATTCCTTCCCTTCCCGAGCCCGCACGGGTGGCCCCAGCACACCAGCCTCCACAGCTTCCTCCCCGCCGGAGGGGAGACCTAGGCCGGGCCCTTGTGGGGCAACCAGCAATTCCAAGTGAGGCGCCCGCACCCCGGGCCTGAAGCGGTAGGAAACCACCGAGGGGCCCTCCGGGCCGGGCCTCCGGCTTGGGCCCGCGCTCACCTACGCGGGGGAGGACGGCGCTGCTTCTCCCTTCAGCACAGTGGGGCCGGCCCTCTTCCTATCCAGCCTTTGCTCTGCTGGCTGCGGAGCTGGTGGGCCTGCTGCAAAGGCTGACGCCGCCCTTTCCCACCACAGGGTCCCTGCGTACATAGCGGCCAGAAGGAACCCCTCTCCCCCACCCAGCCTGAGCCTCCCAGGCCCTGAGGTCAGCACCCTCAGGAGTTAAACATTTACAGGCAGAGCCCAACACCAGCCCCAGTAAATGAGACAAGTCCGTGATCAGCCTCGCATGGTGGGCTGGCTGGTCACGCTCAGCTTCTCTTTGGCCTGAGTCACTGGGACCTTGCACCTGTGTGGCCAGGTGGCAACAGGCGGAGAGAGGGATATTTCTGCAGGTCATCAGAGCCAGCGAGGACGGTGATGGGCAGAAGCTTTTGTGGCATTTTAGGGGCTCAGCGCAGAGGGGGGCCTGGTGCCCCGGCAGAGTGTCCACTGCTAAACAAAGGCCAAGCTCCTCTCTCCTCAGACAGCGCCCTTTGTTTGCTCATGGAACTGTTTTCATAAGCCCCAGGCTCCGCGTGGCCTGCACTTCTGCCTGGGGAGAAGGCTGCAGCTCTGCAGCCTGGGCCGTGAGGCGCACGTCGGCCTTCTGGCCTTGCTCAGGGCTACTCGGAGCCTCCTGCCTGGGCTGGGGAAGGTGGCACCCTTGTCTTGGTCTTGTCCACTTGGGTCTCCTGGATAAGTACTCTTGAGCTAGCCCGAGACGAGCTTCCCTGTCCTTTCTGACCCCACGTCTCAGTGTTTCTGTAGTGCCTCAGGTCCACCAGCCTCTCCTTGCAGGCGTGGGCTGCCGCAGAATTAACTGGGGGGCGCTGTCTCCCGTCCCCTGCGCGTGGGAGGGGGAGCACGCTAAGGAGCAGGGCCCGGCCAAGCTGACGGCCACACGCTGCCCCCCCGGCGCTCGGTGCTCAGCAAAGTGCGCCAGCCACCCCCGGGACTGGGGTCACTTGGCTCAGGTGATGAAGGGGACTGGCTGGGCCTGGCGTGGGGTGGAGCACAGGCCCCACTAGAGCAGACAGGCCCCTCTGGGACAGCAGAAGAGCTCAGGGTTCAGAGTTCAGAGCTGAGGGCCTGGCCCTGCCTCTGCCAGCAGCTGAGCAAGGTCCTCTCGTATTTGGTCTCAGGTCTTTGGTTTCCCGGTCTTTCCATCTCCTGGCATCTAAAGGGATACATCCCCCCCTCCCCACCCCCAAACCCAGGCCATGTGGTCTGAAGAGTCCATTTCCCAGTGCATGAGACAGGCAGGTGGGGGGCGGGGGTGCCCGTGAGCACAGAGCTTTTAAAGGCACAGCCGCAGACTGGGGGGTCACTGGGAGAGCATCTCAAATGAGGCCCTTGGAGCCCCTGGGGATGGTCCCACCCCCTGCCGCTGCACACACACCGGCCCGAGCTCAGTCAGGCTGGGAGCCAGTTTTCTGAGCATTGCTCCACCCAAGGCTGCCCCGTCTTATGACCCTGGCCTTGCAGCCAGGCCCCCACGAGCTCCCACCTGGAGCCCACACACCCAGCTGGGGGGGTTCATGCGGCAGTTCAAAAAGAAGAGCAGAAGAAAAGCACTCAAGTGTTTCAAACTGGAAGAGATTCAATTTAACTTAACAAATCTGGATATGAACCTAAAGAAAACATTGAAAACCAAGCCCACCTACAAAAGGCCCAAGAGAGGAGGTTAAGTAGGAAAAGAAAGGTCCCCTTGGGCCTGAGGACAGCTGCCCAATCCCGGCCAGGGAGTGGAAGACACTGGGCCCCAGTGCAGACCGAGCGGGGCCAGGAGGACTCGCCCAGAATGTGCTCAAGGACTTTCAGCTAAAGGTCCCAACGTGACCTTACCCTGAACTTATACCCCAGATACAGAGATGAGCTAACTGAGGAGCTAAGCAGAGGACCAGCGGCTGGCTGCCTGCTGCCGCCCACCTCCTCCTCGGGGGCCTGGCTCTCTGAGGGCAGCAGTGTTCGGCCCAGAACCACAAGTGAGGCTGTGGGGAAGGATGCTGAATATATGTATATAGTGTGTGTGTGTGTGTGTGTGTGTGTGTGTGTGTGTGTGTTTGTGTGTAGTTCTGTGCTCTGAACAGCCTTACCTACCCGCCCCCCCCAATCTCCCAGATATCTGCTGTTGTTTTATGAAGTCACCCTGCTCTCTGCCTCAGTTTCCCCAGCAAGGCACCATAGGGCACAGCAAGGATTCTACTTTGGGTGCAGTGTAGTCTGACCTTCTGTGATGGCTCAGTTCCAAGGTCTTGGAAGACAAATCAGGTAGAGTCAAAATTACCTTTGAAAATGCCTTGAATTTCCCCTAAAAAAATCCCTTTCTCGGAGCTTTATGTATCCCCCCTAAGCTGCCCTTGTGCCAGCTGAAATGGGCGAGCTCGTGTGTGAACCCCTGGGGTGCACCTACTCTTCTCCAGGCACTCCCGGTGCCATCTTCAACGTGAGCCTCTCGGGCCACTGCCAGGTCAAGAGGTTACTTACTGAGAAGATCAAAGCAACAGTAGGGTCACGGCTGGAGGTGTGAGGATGACGTGGACACCAGGGATGCCCGTCTCTGAGGCTGGACCTGGCTTCCTAGCTCCCTCTGCCTCCAGCTTTTCTTTCTCTTCCTCTTCCCTCCACGAGGACTCTAAGGTGGCACCCGGCATTCCCACGGGCCAACCAAACCCGACAGACTTCTAGCCAGACCTCGGACCGCTAGCCACTCATTGCTAAGGATGTGCATCTAAGGTGTGGCCCCTGCCCAGGACACCTGCATTGTCCCAAGAGGGCTGGTAAATCTTAAAGAATGAACGCTAGAGGGGGCGCTCTGGGGCAGCATGAGAAGCCACAGAGCTGGGTCTGCCACTGTACCCTGGGGGGCCAGGTCAGCGCTGTCCTGGAGTAGTCTGCAGGCCTGCGCGCCCCTCGCCCTCCTCACACGGCGGTGCCGGGTCCGTGGTGTGCGAAGAGACTGAACGCGAAGAATTCTCACTGGAGAAGATGGTCACAGAGTCAACCCAACCAGCGCACAGGCTGTCTCTGCACGGACTGTTCTCTCCTGCCCGGAGGGCCATAGAAACACTTTGGGGGCACAGACCCAAACCAGAGGCCAGGCTCCTTTGCCTCTGCTGGCTAGTTACCTCCCCACCCCCTGCTTGCCAGCCCTCAGGGTGCCAGTCCAGCTTCCCCATCACAGACTGGGGCTCCCCTAAAGACTGCCGCTACCTCACGGGTGACGCCGGCAAGACCCAGTCCTGTGAATCGGGGGACTGACTGACTAAGCGCTCGCAGGGCCCTACTGAAGACCTGGCCAGCAGCAGCGCCCCTCCCACCCCTGACACGGGACGTACACACGGCACGGGCTCAGTCGATTCTGCCAGAGGCTCACCCTCTCCTAAGCACCTGAAAGCCACCAGGTCTATGAACGCTGCTGCCACATTCGGGCTGTGCAGCCTGCGAGTTGCTCGGAACCCTAGAGGTACCGTGCGCTTCCCTTCCGTGCCAAGCACAGCACCAGGGGAAGGCAGGGTTTGTGGCCTGCCCTGGTCCTCACTCTGCTTGAAGATGGGTGCCATCCTTGGCAGGTGAGCCCGACTGTGATGAGAAGAGAGGGCAGAGGCATGGCGGGGCACCTGTGACCACCGTGGGGCATGGTCCTCTGCATTCCCCCCAAGAGTAGCACAGTGGGCGCCAGGTTTCTCCCTGCACCTCCACAGGGGCCAGGACAGCTCGTGAGCCCCTCTCCCAGGGGCGAGACGCTGTGGGTTGTGGGTCTGCATCTCTCCTCTGCCGCTAGCCCATCCTGGGGCCCGGGGCTTTGGGGCCTCCAGGTGTATCTTGTCAAATAAGGACGACACCTAACGGCGGCGCACTGTGACCTCATCTGTGTCCCACGGGAGCTTGTGACCTGATGGTTTCAGACGCGCTCGGGCCAAGTGAGGGATGTCCCCGCGGGGCCTCAGCGTAAGGTGACGGTTCACACTGTCTGCTGTTGGTCAGAGGCCCTTCCCTGAATCGGGCGCACAGCTGGATGCCTGACCCCATCTTCTCAGAAGCTAACACCAGCACCATGAGACACATCCCTCATGTCTGCAAGAGGGCACTGAGGCTCAGAGAGGTGAGGTGGCTGCCCTGGCACCCACGGGCAGGATAAAATGAGCCAGGCTGGCCAGAGTCCGCCGGTAGGCAGTGTCCCCAGGCTTGGTGAACCCATAACCAACACCAGCTAACAAGGAATAATAAATCTCAGACAAGGGGTGCATGATCACTGCACTGAGAACTACAGGACACGGTAGGAGAAAGGAAAGAAGACCTCGATAAACGAGGGACACGTCGAGACCACAGTTGCAAAGACTCAACATAGTAAAGATGTTTCTTCTCCCCGTGGTCATCTAGAGAGCTGCCGTACCTATTAGAAGTTTTCTGTGGAAACTGGCACATGGATGGAGAGACAGGTGCCACACAAAGACAGCCAAGCAAGGCAGGAGAACTGGCTGGAGCCTGCTTGATCAGCTGTCCAGGGCTGGTATCAAACTATAGTGATGATGAAACATGGCCCTGGCAGAAAAGAAAAACTGAAACCTGACTCATGGAAGCGAACAGGGTCCACAAACAGAGCCGCGTGTAGACAGTGAGCTGGTTTATAACGATGCTGATACGGTAGGACAGTGGAGAAAGGATGGTCTTTTCAGTAAAGGGTGCTGAGTCAAGCTGGATATCCAAATGGGGGAAAACTGTACCGTGACCTCAGCCTCGTACTGCATGCAAAAATTGATTCCAGGCAGACTGTAGATCTCCGTGTGAAAGGTGAACTATTAAAGCTTTAGAAAAAAGCAGGATATCTTTATGACCTTGGACTAGTCAGAGTTTCTTAAATAGGACACAAATAGCACTCCCCAGAAAGGAAATGTTTGATTAACTGGATCACCTTAAAATTAAGACCTTCTGTTCATCAAAAGACACCTTAAGAGAGGAAAAGGGCGACCTGCAGAGGGAGAGGTGTTGTGTGTATATATATATATTCCAAATAATCTGACCAACGACTCATGTCCAGGGTAAAGATAGAACTCCTACAATCAAAAGAAAAGATAACCCAATAGAAAGTGGGCAGCCGACGTGGGCATTTTACAAAGGACGATATCCAACTAAACAATAATCATGTAGAAAGGGGCTCAGCTGTACTAGCCATTGGCTTACTGCAAATTAAAATCACAATTTGATGCCACCAGACACCAGTACGGCTAGAAGGGAAGTGATGGAGAATGCCCAGTGTTAGGATACAGAGCAGCCAGAATGCCCCCATGCCACTGGTGGGAGTGCAAGTGGTATATGCCTGCTTTGGGAAACTGTTAGTCAATGTTTACTAAAAGTCAGCAAGCCCATCCAGTGACCTGGCAACTCCGCACCTAGGCACATACTCACCAGAAAGCAGCCCATATGTTCATCAGAGACTAGACAGAATATTCTTAGCGATAATGATAACAGCCCTGCCTTGGAAATTGTCCAAGTGGCCATCCAAGGAGAATGGATAACCAGAGTGTAGGCCATTCACACAGCGGGGTGCCAGCCGGCAAGGAAAGAGGGAGGCACTGCTCTCTTTAGCCAGACGGCGGGGCTCCCAGGGACTCGGACGGACGGGCGCGTGCACTGTGTGAGTCTCTCGATAGAAAGTTCAAGAACGGACAAAGAGCCGAGTCCTGTTGCTAGAAGCCAGGACACTGGTTACCCGTGGGCATCAGTGACAGGAAGCGGGAGCCTAGGGGCTTCCCAGGAGGTTCTGCTGCCTCAGCTGGGGGCTGGTTACATGAGTGCCAGGGGCTGAAAATGCATAAAGCAGTACACTTGAGGTCCATGTACTTCATCCTTCAAGTCGGAAACAGTGTCCTGCGTGCAAGGACAATCCTTTCTAAACTTGACTTGAGAGATGGACAGCCCAGGCCTGCAGAGGGGCTGGGTCTGCCCACAAGCACCCTCCACCCTCGGCTCAGGGGACACACACCTCAGGCTTCCTGATCAGGCTGCCTTGGGACTCAGTCTCCCCTTCTAGGTTCAAGCAGAGCCCAAGAGGGAGCTGTGTGGTACTCCCCGACGGCGAGAAATGTCTCCACATCAAAACCCGTGCGGTCTGTGCAGTCATTTTCCCCAGCTACTTCTAGGGTGTGGACGGTCTCTCCTCCAGCGCTACCCTAACCCTAACCCTAGCCCGGTCCACGCTAGCCTTGCTGAGGACCTGCACCACGGAGACTGCTGAGCGGGGCCTGAGAGCGCCTGGGCCGGGGGTTATGGATGGCTTCTGAGGAAGTAAGGAGCCTCCCCGCTTTCCTCTGGACCTCCCACCCAGACAGCGGGCCCACTCCCCAGAGCAGCAGCCCCGGGAGACTGGCTGCGTCCTCCTCTCATGCTCAGATGGAGGAAGCGAGGCTCCCAGAGGTTAGGGGGCCTCCGGGGGCAGCCCGCAGCTGGGCTGGTGCAGGCTGGGAGCCAGATTGAGGGCATCCGATTCCCAGTCCCGTCTCTTTCCCACTGAGCCACTCCGCCTCGCTTTTAATTTAATTAGGAGAACATTTAATCCCCCCGTGCATTTCAGAGACGGGTTTGCGCCTGGCCGGAGCTGTGAGGCTCTGACGGGGAGCCTGTGACTCATGTAGCTTCGCACAGCCCTCCCGGGTGGGCTCCCACGGGGCTTCCTTGGCACCTTGTGCAGACAGAGGTGGTCTGGAGCTCCGAAGAAGACAGGACAGTGGTCTGGAAAGACAAACTAGCCTCATCTGTTCCTGGCAAGCCCCCTCCTTTATCCCCCTGGACACTGGCCCCAGAAAGGCCTCTCCGTCCTTTCCCACCAAAGTTTGCAGGGTGAGAAACAGAGCGAGGGGCTTGGGTGTTCGCAGAGGTGCAGTGCCTGGTGCCTCCAGGGTCCATGGGTGTGGGCCGCAGTGGGCTCTGGGTGTCTCTGAAACGTCCCAAGCAAACCTAGTCCCATCAATAGAGCTAGTACCCCTGGTCCACGGAGCTGAGTGCAGGACCAAGCCTTGTGACATTTGCCCCCGTTTCCAGAAGGCATGGGGCTGGCCCTGGCCTCGCTGACAAATGCAGATTTCAGGAGACATTAGTAGTGATGTGGATGAAAGCCAGGCCGCAGCGGCCTTGCTGGAGAAGAGAAACTTGAACGTTTTGGCGTGAGATTCCGCAGGGTCCAGGAGAAAGTTGAAGACATGGAAATTCTAATTAACGCACACAGGGCTGGTTTTGCTCAAGGATCTCCAGGCTGTCATGTCGCAGGAGGCCTGCAAGTATATGCTCGCTGGGTGTGTGTGAATGTGTGTGAGCGTGCTTGCTCGTGGTCACCTGGTGGGTGACCTGTAGCGCCCCAGCCTTGGCCTTGCCTTCCCTTCTGCTTTCCTTTCCTAGAAGACCCCTGGCCTGCCCTGTGCCTATCTTGGTGTACAGGGTGCTAACCGAACTCTTCCCCCTGCAGAGTGGTGGCTAGTTAAAAAGAGCTGAATCTCGCCCATCGGAGATGCCGTGATGAAAGAGATGGAGGAACCAGGGACCAACTCTCCTGGAGGGACCCTTCAGGGAAACCACAGGCTGCTGTGCTCACAGAGGGTCTGGCCACTTGAACTACCTGTCTTGGGTGTCCACATGCAACCGGTGGGGCAGATGTGGGTGCCAGGCCACTCCTGGCTGACTGCAGCCGTGGGGAGGACTCCATAGGAATGGCCGCAGTCTCCCAAGGCTGCTGAGAGAAAGGGTACCCAGGCCACGCCCACACACAGCCCTGGAGCTCAGAGCCACAGGACCTGATGCTGAGGCCAGTTCTGACCCAGCCGCCCCTGGCCCTGCATGCCAGCACCCATGCTGAGGCGCCCATAGCCCTTGCTTCATCTCCTCCTCGGGAGGTGCTGGCTGGGGGCCCCCGTCTGCCTTGGGGTGGGAGCCATAGTCCTGGAGCTCCCTCCAGGCTGGGGCTTGAGGGGGTGCCAGATAGGGAGAGGCCCAGGGGAGCCGCACATCACCTGCTCCCCAGGAGCCGAGGATCCTGGGAGACAGGTACCCAAAAAGGAGTCCCAGGCCCCGTACTAGGGCTCAGGGAGCTGGTACAGAGGGCCTCAGGGCTGGAGGAGGACGCGGCTGCCTGGCCTGTGGACGTCCTGCGCCTCCTTGAGAGGGGATGACTTGAGAGGGCCTTGGAAAGATGAGCAGGAATCTCGTGGCTGCAGAGGAGTGCCAAGGCTGTCCCGGATGGGACGCCGTGTGCAAGGCACAGGGATGCACACAGGGGTGGCCCTCCCCTCAGGGGGTAGGAGCCTAGGAACTCACCCCAGCTCCTGGGGAGCAGGGCTCCGCTACGCCCCACTCCCCCAGATGCCTTGTCTCCTGCCTCACACTTGCTCCTTGGAAGCCCTGTGGCCAGACTGGGTGGGGGGCGGGGGGGGGGGGTCACAAATGCAGACGAGCCGCCTGCTGGCCCTGCTGGCCCTGGAAGACTATCTTCCTGAAAGGTGTGGCTGAGACTCCGGCCCGGCCACCCAGATTTGTGTGAGGGCCCTGGAGCTGCCCAGGGGCTTGCCTGTGGGGCTGGAGTGCCCAAAGCTACCGTGTCTCCCCAGCCCACTGCACCCTGGGCCCTGCTCGCTGGCAACCCCCTCGGTTGCACCAGGCTGGCTTGCTGACCCCCAGTCCCCTGACCCCTCGCTCCACCGATGGCCAACAGGCCCCGGAAAGAGGAGCTTCGCCCAGCCCCAGGGACCTTCCCGTAATCAAGGCTGCAGTGACCTCACCTCCCTGGGGCCCAGCGGGCGGGGAGAGCTTGAGATGGAAACAAAATGTGTCTTTATTTATGCTTTTAATTTGAATCCTGGAACTGGCCCAAGATGGTAATACATTTAACATCAGTAAAATGCTGAAGAAAAATGGATCTGTTTTTCAGTAACTGCCTCCCACCCACTCTGCCCGCTGTGAGACCCCCGCGCACACCCCCCATCCCTTACACACACCAGGGCGTGCGCCCCTCTCTTCCCCGCATGGAGTCCGTGGGGCTGAGCTGCCCGCAGGAGCCGAGACGGGTCCCCGAGCGGCTGGAGCCGAGTTTAATTAGGGGCATCAATCACCAGGCAGGCCGTGCGGGAGGCAAAGGAATGTGGCCCCAGCATGGGCACCGAGGCCTGGCCATCCCCCTCCCTGCCCTGCCCTGCTGGCAGTCACAGCCCTAAGTAAGCATGGTGCCCGTCGGTGCCACCTCCTTCCCCAGCCATGGTGGGGTGGGGCCTCTACCCAGCCTGCAGCCCTGGGGGCGCCTAGGTCTGAGGCCCCCACCATCTCTTTTCACTGTGCCTACATCCCCCCTTCCCCACCTGGGCTCCCCCGAGCAGTACTCTGACTACTGAGGACGTGGGCACGCAGATCCCTTGCCGTCTCAACCTTGACTCTGTCTTGACCAGACCACGGTGCCTGGAGGTGTCCTTTCGACTGCAGCCTCGGTCTTTTCACTCCCAGCCTTCACTGCAGACCCTTCCTCCTAGCACCACGCCTAGGCTCCTTCCCACCTTCCCAGCTGGCTCACCTCCAGGGTCTGTACTGGTTCACAGGTTCTGGGGCGAGGACTCTACCGGGTGAGGACTGCCTAGGCCCAACCGGCGCTGGAGGGGACCACTCCTGCTACAACCAGCGGGCCACACCATGGGACCGCTGGACCGAGAAGGCCCACCACCGGCTCTCTAGTTGGTAATGTCCCAGGCCCACAGCAAGCAGAGAGAGCTTGGGGCCTCTGTCTTGGAGGAGGGAAGACGAGAAACGGCCAGGCTCCTCTGACGATGCAGTTACACTGGCTTGAGTTCCCTCCTGGGGCTCCCTGGGCAGGTGGGCGGCCTCTAGCCTTGGGAAACGTGGTGCACGCAGATGCCAACACACATGGACCTCGCTTCAAAAGGGGGGACTGCGAAAGGCAGCTGTCAGCTTGGCTTTGGGCCACCTCGGTCCCCAGTCTCACCACCCTCACCCTGGGCCTCTCTGCAGGGGCCTCGCAGGGCCCGGGGAGCCGGTGAAGACTGACTGCCCCGCTGGATGGGTGGTGGGTGATGGCCCTGTCCACCCGGGGGGCAACTCCTTGCATGTGCATTCTGGGGGCCAGGCCACAGCTGAGAGAACAAAGGAGAGTGAGCTCTGACAGGAAGAGAGCGGCCAGGAGGACAGGAAGGGGCAGGCTGAGCGGCACAGTGAGGCCTGGGTGCTATCCACCCACGTGAGGGTCATGTTTCCCAGCAGGCTCTTGGCCGTCCTCGCTCTGAGCAGGCACTGCCACCTGGGCTGCAGACACCAGCCACAAAACTGCAACCTTTACTGCTCTGGCGTCCGTTGTGCCCCAGATTCGGTACAGGCCTCAGCCAGAGTGGTAAGCTGGCATTCTGCCTTGGGACGCTGACCTGCACCTGCCCATCCCGTCTGGCACCCGCCACTGCTCACGCCTCCGCCCTTGTCCATTTATCAAGTGAGCCTATCAGGTCATCTCCGGGATGGGCCCAGAGGTCAGAGCCACATTCCCAGGGGTGGCCTGGAAGCTTGCTCCGGTGCCGAGTCCACGAGGATGAATAACGCTGCTTCCCAGGGACCTGGGTGGCTCCCACCGAGCCTGAGAATGTTTTCTGTGCACACCCCGCTATCGATGGGGTGCTGTCAACCTCCCTGTGAGCCTGGGGGCCTGGAAGGATGGTAGGCCATCCTGTCTGATCATGGTACCACCTTGAGACTGTCCAACCCTCCTCTCACTCTGGCTCCCCGACTCTGTCAGTCCTCTGGTTACAGAGCAGCCAGGAGGCCCTGCAGTTCGGGTCCCGATTCCTCAGTCATCTGCAAGGCAAAGGCCACACCTGGCCGGCAGCAAAGGCAGCCAGCCCGGGGCCTCACTTCCAGAGAGATGCACGTGGTTCAGGACAACCTCGAGACCCTTAGAGTCCGGAGAGCCGAGACATGCTTTAGTGACTCCGCAGAGAGAAGGAAAGAAGGCCAGCAAGTGACTCTCAGAAGGGCTGAGAGCGCTGCTCACACATCCCAGCACAGAAAGACTTCTCTAGGGGAATCCCCAGTGGGGCAGTGGCCAGAATGGGCCCGAGTGTCCCACTGACCCCGCCACAGGCTGTCACCACTGGGTGCCCTAGCCGGGAGCACTGAGTCACGTCGGAGGGGAATCACACCATGGCCGGGCCCCAGGGATTGGCCTGGCGATACCGCGACGGTGGGGGAGGACGGGCATGCGTCCCAGGCCAGCTGTGCCTCGGGGGCAGGCCAACTGGAAGGCGTGGAAAATCAGCCATTTCCTCCACCTGAAGGAGCCCCTGAGGACAGCAGCGGCAACTGGCAGACAGCAGTCGGCATCTGCCCCGTGGCTTTGGCCAGGGTTCCACCGGGGAAATGCGAAAAACAAAGTCGTCTCTTTTTTGGGGGGCAGGGGAGGGGGCTAGGGGAGAGAAAAACAATCTTCTCAGACGCTCAAAGCACGAAAACAAGTGGAAAATGACCAGTCTGGTTTTCCATAAGTCAGAACAAGAGGATCATGTTCCCAGACTCGGCGGGAAATGCCCTTGCTCTCCTCCCCGCCTGGTGCCCGGGCACTGAGGCCAGCCCCCGGTGGTCGGTGGCCCCAGGTTGCTGAGGGCAGGCAGCGAGCGGTGGGCACTGAGTGGGGAGGCCTGAGCCCTGGTCCAGCACTGAGCCCCACGCCCTTCTAGCTCATCACCCCTGGGTGAGTGGACACTCACTGCGACACATGGGTGACGGGCGCCAGCAGAGTCTCCCCTTCCAGGTCCAGGTCCTCGGCAAAGCTGTTGGTTCTCGTGAAATGGGCCATGCTCACTTCCAGCAGCGCGGGGCTCTTCTTCACTGTGGGCAAAGATGCGGGACAGCACGTTAGGCTTCCATGGAAGGCTTGATGGCGGAGGGGGCCCAGGGTTGCTCAGAGCTGAGATGCTCACCCCAAGCTGCTACCCTGGCTGTGGGGCGGACCTGTGCCCCTGGGGCCTTCCCACAGACGGGTAAGATATCTACTCGCGGGGCTGGGTGAGGAGCGCAGACGGTGTATGAAGCCTCGGCACAGAGGACTGGCGGGGGCGGGGGGGACCGATGGCCCCCACGTGCCTGAGGCCACAGTGGTCAAGGAGCAGTTGAGAGCCGATGACACCTCCTCAGAGCGAGGACTGTGCCTGGGCTGAGCTCAGGTGTCTGGGCCTCTCCCCAGGTTCACACCAGACGTTCAGGTCAAGAATAGAACATAGCTGCCAAGCACAGGCCTGCTAAGACACTGACTCATCACCACGCTGTCACTGTCACGTGGCTGGATGGCTTTCGATGCATCCGTGAAGACCCAGGGTGGTAGGGCTCCTGCTCACAGAGCGTCGCAAGCCGGGGAGGAAGGGGCAGCCACAGAGCTCCTGGCCCCTTGCGTCCGCCACCCGCACCCTGAGGGAGGCACAGGAACCACCCCGACGGCTGGTGTTGGCATTCAGACTCCTGGGCCCACCCGCAGTGAGCAGGTGCTCGTGTTCCGGGCTGACTAAGAGTAATTACCAGTCCCCTGGTTTTCAATCTGGACCTTTTTTATTTTTCCATTTAAAGATTTTGTTGTAAAATAACGAATTACTTGTAAAAAGGGACACAGCTCAAAGACTCATGAAGGCCTTCCTTCCCCGAGGTCATCAGCGTTAACCACCAACTAGATTCCCAGCTCATCCCTCTGCTCACGAGAGCAGCTGACACCCGGTGGGACTTGCATTTATACACACGTGAGGGCTCTGTTCCTGTCACTGCAATGTGCCCATCTCATTTTTCTACAGGTATTTAGACATGGATCTAAGTCTTATTTTAGTAATTGCATAACAGTCCGTAGCTTAGATCTACCACAATTAACTCAACCATTCCATGTGTGACGGACATTTGGTTCCATTAGCTTTAAGCCACTGCTTTAAGACGATGATGCACCCATCCATCTTTACGAAAACCTGACATATTGAGGCAGGTGAGAGGGTGCTTCCTTGGTAAGTTTAGTAGGTGTGGCTGGATTGTTTTCCCAAGAAGTCGTATCAGTTAGGCTCCAGCAGTAGTGTGTGCGCATGCCACCTTCTCCACATCCATGTCCGCACAGGCCTTTGGCAGCCTTTGCTGGGCCCGTCACGTGTAGACGAAGACGGGCATGGTGCCTTTCCTTCTATGCTGGATGCCCGTTGTGGCTCGGAGGCTATTTGGTTTTCCTCTTGTGGGATTATCTGTTCTTATCCTTTGCTCACTTCTGTCCGTCAATTTGTAGGAATTTTTTTTCTATGCTAGAGATAATTAACCCGTTGCATATGAGGCACAAGTATCTTCCCCAGTCTATCTTTGGTGTTTTTACCTTAATTATGGTTGTTTTGTCACAGAACATCTTCTATGATTTTGAAGCGATACCTATCTTTTGCTTTTTGAAAGAGAAAGGATTCCCCACCCCAAAGTAGTACAACCATCTCCTAAATATAAACGTATGAGTGTGTGTAAATTTTAATACTTTTAGCACTTACACCTCACATTGTAGGAGATCATCAACAATCAGAAAATGAAAATGTAAAGGTATTGTATGCAGTCTTACTGAAAAAACTAAAATGAAACACAAACTATAAATTCTCTTCAAGAAGACACGGGAGAGAGTCTCTGGATTTGATACCAAAAGCTCAGTCTGTGAGCAGAAAAAAATGGAAAAACTGGACTTTATCAAAATTAAAAGCATTTGCTCTGTAAAAGACACTGCGAAGGGAATGAAAAGACAAGTCATAGACTTGGAGAAAATGTTTACATGTCACTTGTCTGGTCAAGGACTTTGATCCAGAATATGTAAGGAACTGTGGCCCAGTTTTAAAAATGGATTACTAATAAGCTCATGAAAAGATGCTCAGTTCAACCAATACCAGTAGTTGTTAGGGAAATGCAAATTAAATCCACAGTGAGCTACCACTATACCCATGTTAGAATGACTAAAACTTTTAAATGGCTTCGATTTTGGATATTTGGCAAAGAATAAGGTTAGAGCCTTACTTTTCACTTTACATTAAGAAAAGAAAAAAGAAGGCGAAGCCTGACAATACCATGTGCTCATGAAGATGCAGAGCAACTAGAACTTTTACGTGTTGCTGGTGGGAATGCAAAATGGTGCAGCCATGTTGCAAGAGGGTTTGGTGGTTTCTCATAAAGTTCAACATACATTTATCTTGTGACGCACTGGTCCCTGTCCCAGTTATTTACCCAAGTGAACTGAAGATTTACATTCAGAAAAACCTGTACGTAAGTGTGTATCGCAATCTTGCTCACAGCTGCCCCAACCAGGAAACAACTAAGATGCGCTTCAGTAGGTGAATGGATAAACTGTGGTACATCCATACAATGGAATTCCATCCAGCCATCAAAGACATGAACTAACGGTTCACGCGTGCAACAACACAGATGAGTCGCAAATGCATTTTGCTAAGCAGTGAAAAAAGCCAGATGCAAAAGGCTACATATTATATGATTCCATTTATAGGACATTCTGGAAAAGGCAAAACTACAGGGACATAAAACAGATCAATGGCTGCTAGTGTTTAGAGGAGGGGGAGTACTTGACTTCAAAAGCGTTGCACAATGGAATTTTTCGGGCTATGGAACTTCTCTGTATGATGTTGTGGTGGTAGGTACATGACTCCAGGCATTTGTCAAAACCCATAGAACTGTACATCTCCAAGAGTAAATTTTACTATGTGCAACCCCCCGCTCCCCACCAAATAAGCCTGTTGGAGGATCCAGGATGGAAAGCATACTGTCACGAGTGAATTCCGTATTACGAATACGTAACATAGCACTAAAAGGAGAGGGGAAGAAGGAGCTGGCCTGTGAAGTCTTGGGAAACAATCTTCTGATTGGATATGTTTAAAGTAAAAAAAAAAAAACAAAACTGTCATAAACACAGTATTCTAGTTGGTAAGTTTGTTTCTCATAGGGGTACTACAGGTACACTTGAGTTAAATAAGTAAATAATTATAGATAATGGGAGTCAGGATTCTCAATGTCAGAAAAAAAGTAACAAACAGAGTTAGGGGGTGGTGAACGAACCCTGTGGTCAGAAATATCAGTATGAACTTACATTTAGTTTAAAATAGACACAAATAAATACAGATGTACGTGTACACTTGGGTTATTCACATACATACATTTCCTAGCTCTGTCCGCTGAGAGGCCCTAGAAGCAGTGACCAACTGTGGAGCAATGAGCACCTAGTGCCCAGATCCTGGTTTCTAAATCCCATTCTCCAGTAAAAGGAACCAGGGCTCTCTGATAGAATGGTGATTCTAGGGCTAGGGCAGTGGAAATATAAGATAAGCCTGAAGTATTGTCTAGTGTTAGAAAGGAAAGAAATGCTCAAAAATAAATAAATGAGAAGGATGAGGGCATATCAAATGGACACAGGAACTAACCCAAAAGAACTCTCAATCCAGTGACCAAAGCTAAAACAATTTGAGCAACAAAATAAATAATATTAAAAATATTATACAAAATCCTATCAAACATTTAGAGAAGAGCTAACACCCATCCTTCTCAAACTCTTCCAAAATATAGCAGAGGGAGGAACACTCCCAAACTCATTCTACGAGGCCACCATCACCCTGATACCAAAACCAAACAAAGATGTCACAAAAAAAACTACAGGCCAATATCACTGGTGAACATAGATGCAAAAATCCTCAACAAAATACTAGCAAACAGAATCCAACAGCACATTAAAAGGATCATACACCATGATCAAGTAGGGTTTATCCCAGGAATGCAAGGATTCTTCAATATATGCAAATCAATCAATGTGATAAACCATACTAACAAATTGAAGGAGAAAAACCATATGATCATCTCAATAGATGAAAAAGCTTTCGACAAAATTCAACACCCATTTATGGCAAAAACCCTCCAGAAAGTAGGCACAGAGGGAACTTACCTCAACATAATAAAGGCCATATATGACAATCCCACAGCCAACATCATTCTCAGTGGTGAAAAACTGAAACCATTTCCACTAAGATCAGGAACAAGACAAGGTTGCCCACTCTCACCACTATTATTCAACACAGTTTTGGAAGTTTTAGCCACAGTAATCAGAGAAGAAACAGAAATAAAAGGAATCCAAGTCGGAAAAGAAGTAACATTGTCACTGTTTGCAGATGACATGATACTATACACAGAGAATCCTAAAGATGCTACCAGAAAACTACTAGACCTAGTCAATGAATCTGGTCAAGTAGCAGGATACAAAATTAATGCACAGAAATCTCTTGCATTCCTATACACTAATGATGGAAAATCTGAAAGAGAAATTAAGGGAACACTCCCATTTACCACTGCAACAAAAAGAATAAAACACCTAGGAATAAACCTACCAAGGAGACAAAAGGCCTGTATGCAGAAAACTGTAAGACGATGAAAGAAATTAAGGATGATACAAACAGATGGAGAGATACACCATGTTCTTGGATTGGAATAATCAACATTGTGAAAATGACTATACTACCCAAAGCAATCTACAGATTCAATGCAATCCCTATCAAACTAAAAATGGCATTTTCCACAGAACTAGAACAAAAAATTTCACAATTTGTATGGAAACACAAAATACCCCGAATAGCCAAAGCAATCTTGAGAAAGGAAAACGGAGCTGGAGGAATCAGGCTCCCTGACTTCAGACTATACTACAAAGCTACAGTAATCAAGACAGTATGGTACTGGCACAAAAACAGATATACAGATCAATGGAACAGGATAGAAAGCCCAGAGATAAACCCATGCACCTATGGTCACCTTGTTTTAGATAAAGGAGGCAAGAACGTACAATGGAG